CACTGATTTGAAGTGGATTTAACAAGGGACATCAATAAGGGATCAGGGCTTTCACTTGGCTTCAGCTGGTCAGTGTATGTCATGGAAAGAGCATGTGTTCTTAATGTTTTGTAGACTAAGTGTATACGTCTAACCCTAGACTCAGGGATTGATACACACATTTCATTCCCGTGTTTATTTGAGCTAGCTGGACTCATTCCTCACTCATCCCTTATCATCTCTACTATATCTTGACATATGTCATTATGTTGTCTTTCCTATGAAGGGAGACACACATTTCCCTCAGATTACACAGACCTACAAAGAATTAGAAAACAATTCCAATCTTGATATACTCCCATATCTATTAGGTGAAATACCACAGTGCCACCTAGGGTTGACCCCATTTATTCGACTGGTCTATTGTTTGGTTGATAGGTTGTTGGTCGACCAATAATCTTTTAGTCGAGCAGTTGCACAATTAGATTTTTGTTTATGCCACGTCTTGATTTACGCCTGTCTCCGTGGAGGCCGCAGGGGTGGCACATCAGTATCACCACTAGTACATTTACCATTTTTAATTCCCATAATTTATCATCTACAATATTTGTTTACCATAATTTATGTTTATGCATTCAATATATTATTATTAGTCTTTTACCATTCTCATTGTCGGAGTGGACACATTGTTTGCAGAGCTCACAACCTGTGCTACACTTGTGGGAAACAAGTTTTGGTTTATTTCATTCCATTTACGAGTTAAGTCAATTTTATTAATTGTGTTTTGTTTGGAGCGCTCCTGTTTAATGTTGAGTAGGGGCGCGCACCTGATTACGCATAGTAGGCCTAGGCTACCTGACTTGCGCACAAATGTAGGATTATACAGTGCATTTGGAAAGTATTCAGACTGCTTGACTTTTTCCACATTATTCTAAAATGGATGAAATTGTTTTTTCCTCCTCAATCTACACACAATACCCCATAATGACAAAGCAAAAACTGGTTTTTAGACATTTTTGCAAATGTATTAGAAATAAAAAACATATCACATTTACACAAGTATTCAGACCCTTTAATCAGTATTTTGTTGAAGCACCTTTGGTAGCGATTACAGCCTTCGAGACGTCTTGGGTATGACTCTACAAGCTTGGCACACCTGTATTTGGGGAGTTTCTCTCATTCTTCTCTGCAGATCCACTCAAGCTCTGTCAGGTTGAAAGGGGAGCGTCGCTGCACAGCTATTTTCAGGTCTCTCCAGAGCTGGTCGACCGGGTTCAAGTCCGGGCTCTGGCTGGGCCACTAAAGGACATTCAGAGACTTGTCCCGAAGCCACTCCTGCGTTGTCTTGGCTGTGTGCTTAGGGTCGTTGTCCTGTTGGAAGGTTAACCTTCGCCCCAGTCTGAGGTCCTGAGTGCTCTGGAGCAGGTTTTCATCAAGGATCTCTCTGTACTTTGCTTCATTCATCTTTCCCTCGACCCTGACTAGTCTCCGAGTCCCTGCTGCAGAAAACATCCCCACAGCATGATGCTGCCACCACACTGCCATGTTTCCTCCAGACGTGACACGTGGCATTCAGGCCAAAGAGTTACATCTTGGTTTCATCAGACCAGAGAATCTTGTTTCTCATGGTCTGAGAGTCCTTTAGGTGTCTTTTGGCAAACTCCAAGCGGGCTTTCATGTGCCTTTTACTGAGGAGTGGCTTCCATCTGTCCACATCCTTGGAGAGCTCTTTGGTCTTGGCCATGGTGGAGAGTTTGGAATCTGATTGATTGCTTCTGTGGACAGGTGTCTTTTTATACAGGTAACAAACTGAGATTAGGAGCACTCCCTTTAAGAGTGTGCTCCTAATCTCAGCTCGTTACCTGTGTAAAAGACACCTGGGAGCCAGAAATCTTTCTGATTGAGAGGGGGTCACATATTTATTTCCCTCATTAAAATGAAAATCAATTTATAACATTTTTGACATGTGTTTTTCTGGATTTTGTTGTTGTTATTCTGTCTCTCACTGTTCAAATAAACCTACCATTAAAATTATAGACTGGTCATTTCTTTGTCAGTGGGCGAACGTGCAAAATCAACAGGGGATCAAATACTTTTTTCCCTCACTGTATATACACTGCTCAAAAAAATAAAGGGAACACTTAAACAACACAATGTAACTCCAAGTCAGTCATACTTCTGTGAAATCAAACTGTCCACTTAGGAAGCAACACTGATTGACAATAAATTTCACATGCTGTTGTGCAAATGGAATAGACAACAGGTGGAAATTATAGGCAATTAGCAAGACACCCACAATAAAGAAGTGGTTCTGCAGGTGGTGACCACAGACCACTTCTCAGTTCCTATGCTTCCTGGCTGATGTTTTGGTCACTTTTGAATGCTGGCGGAGCTTTCACTCTAGTGGTAGCATGAGACGGAGTCTACAACCCACACAAGTTGCTCAGGTAGTGCAGCTCATCCAGGATGGCACATCAATGCGAGCTGTGGCAAGAAGGTTTGCTGTGTCTGTCAGCGTAGTGTCCAGAGCATGGAGGCGCTACCAGGAGACAGGCCAGTACATCAGGAGACATGGAGGAGGCCGTAGGAGGGCAACAACCCAGCAGCAGGACCGCTACCGCTGCCTTTGTGCAAGGAGGAGCAGGAGGAGCACTGCCAGAGCCCTGCAAAATGACCTCCAGCAGGCCACAAATGTGCATGTGTCTGCTCAAACGGTCAGAAACAGACTCCATGAGGGTGGTATAAGGGCCCGTGGGGGTTGTGCTTACAGCACAACACCGTGCAGGACGTTTGGCATTTGCCAGAGAACACCAAGATTGGCAAATTCGCCACTGGCGCCCTGTGCCCTTCACAGATGAAAGCAGGTTCACACTGAGCACATGTGACAGACGTGACAGAGTCTGGAGACGCCGTGGAGAACGTTCTGCTGCCTGCAACATCCTCCAGCATGACCGGTTTGGCGGTGGGTCAGTCATGGTGTGGGGTGGCATTTCTTTGGGGGGCCGCACAGCCCTCCATGTGCTCGCCAGAGGTAGCCTGACTGCCATTAGGTACCGAGATGAGATCCTCTGGGACATCATGTCTCGCTCCATCCACCAACGCCAAGTTGCACCACAGACTGTCCAGGAGTTGGCGGATGCTTTAGTCCAGGTCTGGGAGGAGATCCCTCAGGAGACCATCCGCCACCTAATCAGGAGCATGCCCAGGCGTTGTAGGGAGGTCATACAGGCACGTGGAGGCCACACACACTACTGAGCCTCATTTTGACTTGTTTTAAGGACATTACATCAAAGTTGGATCAGCCTGTAGTGTGGTTTTCCACTTTAATTTTGAGGGTGACTCCAAATCCAGACCTCCATGGGTTGATAAATTTGATTTCCATTGATCATTTTTGTGTGATTTTGTTGTCAGCACATTCAACTATGTAAAAGATTATTTCATTCATTCAGATCTAGGATGTGTTGTTTAAGTGTTCCCTTAATTTTTTTGAGCAGTGTTTATACACACACGCACACTACTGTTCAAAAGTTTGGGGTCACTTAGAAATGTCCTTGTTTTTGAAAGAAAAGCAATTTTTTTTGTCCATTTAAAATAACATCAAATTGATCAGAAATACAGTGTTAATGTTGTAAATAGCTATTGTGGCTGGAAACTTTTTTAAATGGAATATCTACAGGTGAAGTCGGAAGTTTACATACACATTTTAGTCATTTAGCAGACGCTCTTATCCAGAGCGACTTACTTACTTATAAACTCCGTTTTTCACAATTTCTGACATTTAATCTTAGTAAAAATTCCCTGTCTTAGGTCAGTTAGGATCACCACTTTATTTTAAGAATGTGAAATGTCAGAATAATAGTAGAGTGATTTATTTCAGCTTTTATTTATTTCATCACATTCCCAGTGGGTCAGAAGTTTACATACACTCAATTAGTATTTGGTAGCATTGCCTTTAAATTGTTTAACTTGGGTCAAATGTTTCGGATAGCCTTCAACAAGCTTCCTATAATAAATTGGGTGAATTTTGGCCCATTCCTCCTGACAGAGCTGGTGTAACTAAGTCAGGTTTGTAGGCCTCCTTGCTCACACACGCTTTTTCAGTTCTGCCCACAAATGTTCTATAGGATTGAGGTCAGGGCTTTGTGATGGCCACTCCAATACCTTGACTTTGTTGTTCTTAAGCCATTTTGCCACAACTTTGGAAGTTTGCTTCGGGTCATTGTCCATTTGGAAGACCCATTTGCGACCAAGCTTTAACTTCCTGACTGATGTCTTGTGGATATATTGAAGCAACATCTCATCATTTTCCTTCCTCATGATGCCGTCTATTTTGTGAAGTGCACCAGTCCCTCCTGCAGCAAAGCACCCCCACAGCATGATGCTGCCACCCCCGTGCTTCACGGTTGGGATGGTGTTCTTCGGCTTGCAAGCGTCCCTCTTTTTCCTCCAAACAGTTTGATTTTCTTTTCATCAGACCAGAGGACATTTCTCCAAAAAGTACGATCTTTGTCCCCATGTGCAGTTGCAAACCGTAGTCTGGCTTTTCTATGGCGGTTTTGGAGCAGTGACTTCTTCCTTGCTGAGCGGCCTTTCAGGTTATGTCGATATAGGACTCGTTTTACTGTGGATATAGATACTTTTGTACCTGTTTCCTCCAGCATCTTCACAGGGTCCTTTGCTGTTGTTCTGGGATTCATTTGCACATTACGCACCAAAGTACGTTCATCTCTAGGAAACAGAACGCATCTCCTTCTTGAGCGGTATGACGGCTGCGTGGTCCCATGGTGTTTATACTTGCATACTATTGTTTGTACAGGTGAACGTGGTACCTTCAGGCGTTTGGAAATTGCTCCCAAGGATGAACCAGACTGGTGGACAGACAGGAGTTGCTAGTGCGCGATGGGACAAGAATATCCCTGCCGGCCAAACCCTACCCTAACCTGGATGACGCTGGGCCAATTGTGCGCCGCCCCATGGGTCTCCCGGTCGCTGCCGGCTGCAACGGAGCCTTGACTAGATCCAGGATCTCTAGTGGCACAGCTAGCACTGCGATGCAGTGCCTTAGACCACTGCGCCACTCTGGAGGCCGCACTAATATATATTTAAATATGTCATTCTTGTTTGCCTTCAATCTACTTTTCCCTTCCATTAAGGTTATTTTGAAGAGCACCACCCTGACAGTCACCAATGGCAGTCGCAGTGCCTAAACTCTCCAGCGGTGCTGTTGTCAAAATCCGCTACAACAGCATAGATGTGGGCACCACTCGATGGAAGGAGGGGACTTTTGAGGTTCTTGAGAAGGATAACAAAGTCAACCTGTGCCTGAAGTTCTGTGCTGGTGGTGCAGCCAAAAGTTTCCAGGTATTGTATGATAGTGTTTTCCCCATACTCGCTCATTTCACATAACAAAATGGCATGCTTACATTGGACTTGAATAGCTGAGAAATCGTGTGTGTTAAGGCACTCTGAAGGTATATTTTAATTATGTTACTATGCTTTCAGCTCAACCATAATGTGAATAATGTCGTGATGCAGCCCATACACACTATGAGACGAATTGTGGTGACTCTGAAGGATGACAGCATAGTCACCCTTGAGAGAGTTCCCCCTGTTTTGGCTGAGAAAATGAAAGATTACCTTGAGAAGCTGAAGCATGGAAAATCAACCGGTAACAATCTATTGGAAATTGTAGATCATTTTGTAGTTTCTTTTAAGCTGTTTCTTAAAGTTGCAGCATGGAACTGGTTCGTCTGCTGGAAAGTAAGTGTTGTTTTCTTGTAGTTCTAAAGACCTCCCAGGGAAGTGCCAGCTTTGGTGTGCTCGGGAATCGATCCGTAAAGAACGAGACTAGTCAGCCTGGAGAACGACAAGTAAATAATTGCATTTAGAATACACCTGTCATTTAAAACCACACTGGTTGTTGTACCTCTGACAAGCTCATCTGCTTAAACTCTGCCTCTGTATCAGACAACACCCAGACGACCCAGTGTGGACAACAGGGAGGAGACGACCACCCGCAAGCCCCTGGGTAGCCCCAGTAGAGGGACCTCCACACCTGCCCGCAGTGGACTGTCTGAGAACAGGTAGGCAATCCCTCCCCTTCAGGCACACTGCCCCCCCCCCCCACCACCCAGGTAGATAAACCACCACACTCTGGCTGCGTCCTGATTCTCCACCCTTCTCCTGAAGTGTACACTCACATTCTCCCCCCTCACAGATTTACAAGGGAGGGACTGGTGGTGTAATGAGTAATTAGAGCAGTAAAAATAAACGTTGTCATACCCGTGGTATACGGTCTGATATACCACAGCTGTAAGCCAATCAGCATTCAGGGTTCGAACCACCCAGTTTATAATATAAAATATATACAGTGAGGACGAGAAGTATTTGGACAGCGACAGCTTTTTTGTTGTTTCGGTTCTGTATTCCAGCACTTTGGATTTGAAATGATACAATGACTATGAGGTTAAAGTGCAGACTGTCAGCTTTAATTTGGGGGTATTTTCATCCATATCGGGTGAGCCGTTTAGAATTTACAGCACTTTTTGTACATAATACTCTACAAACATGTTGGATGCATTTACAGTTTGTTTTGGTTGTTTATGATTTATTTTGTGCCCAATAGAAATGTGGGTAGAGTTGAACTGACTGCATAAATAATAAACAGAGTAGCAGCAGCGTAAAAGAGGGGCTTGGGGTGGGGTGGCAATGCAAATAGTCTGGGTAGCCATGATTTAGCTGTTCAGGAGTGTTATGGCTTGGGGGTAGACGCCGTTAAGAAACCTTTTGGACCTAGACTTGGTGCTCCGGTACCCCTGATGAAAATACCCTGAAATTAAAGCTGACTATCTGCACTTTAACCTCATAGTCATTGTATCATTTCAAATCCAAAGTGCTGGCGTACAGAGCTAAAACAACCCAAAAAAAGGTCACTGTCCAAATACTTTTGGACCTCACTGCATTTCATTTAGCAGACGCTTTTATCCAAAGCGACTTAGTCATGCGTGCATACATTTTACATATGGGTGGCCCCAGCGGGAATCGACCCCACAACCCTTGGCGTTGTAAGTGCAATGCTCTACGGACTGAGTCACACAGGACCACTTTCCAACTCTCCTCCCCTCTCACTAGCCTTTCCCCTGAGATAACTTTTCTTCGTTTGATAGTGGCTTTAGTCTTTTTGCATTTATTGGTCTCATAACCACTCTTAATGCTGTGTTTGCCCCCTCAGGAATGAGAAGAGGAAGAGACTCCACATCTCTGACAGCGACCTGACTGAGGACTACCCCAAGGAGAATGACTCATCCAGGTATGTCAAAGGCAATATGTTACTCTACCAAGCAAAGTTTTGGGTTGATTTCACATCCCTTCATGTCAATTTAGGAATTGAAATGCAATCCTATGATAATGTCATATCCATAGTCCACTGATCGGTATTGACAAGGAATGCACCAAACACTGCTACCATTACTGGGATATGAACACTATTATACCATGGGAAATAAATGAGGGACAATTGTAGTGAAACAGTTGTGCTTCACTTAATTTAAACTGTTTCTTTAATCTTACTTTATCTCAGCAACAACAAGGCCACGTCGGACCCCTCCAGGAAGTTTCTGCTGAGCTGCAAAGACAAGCTGAAACAGGCGGAGGAGAACCGTAGCTCAGGTAAGACCCTCAGTCAGTCTTGTACACATACAAAGTGAGATGTCCTTCTCCAGACTAGAACAGTGCCGTCTCCAGATGCCCGGTCTGATAACTGTCTGCGTTTCCCACCAGTTTCACTGGTCCCGGCACCACTTCAGCCCACGTCATTCTATGGCAGCCGATCGGTGACCAAAGACTACTCCACGAGTCACTCCTTTCTAGACAGGTAAGTTGTTTTTTTTTTTAACCTTTATTTAACCAGGTTGTCTTATTGGTGTTAAGAATACATTCTTATGTATCATTAAGATGCTGCCACACCTTCAGTTCGTCAACATTTGTTGTCCCCCCCCACAGGCCATCCAGTACATCCCAGACCCCCTCGGCTAAGAGAAGTCTCATGTTACCCAATCACTCAACCCCCTTCAAGAAAGTGCGCCCCACGCTGGACTACGGTGGATGGAACAAGCCGAGACCGTCCACTCTGGCCCAGCCCCAGCCTCCACTGCAAGGGTAAGGAGACATCCCAGGGTTATATTGGTGATTCTGAAGTTAACCTCCATAGTCAATGAGGGGCTTTTCTTGTGCTGCCTACCTATCAGAAATTAGCGATTTACTATAACCGTTCATGCTTGTTATGAATATGCCACTTTCATTTCACAACATTTATCCTTACCACCAGTGGTTGTATTGGTGGTACAGAGATGGAGTATAACTCAAATGTCCTCTAACATCTTTGCTGCAGATTCTCCAACCTGGGCAACACGTGTTACATGAACGCCATCCTCCAGTCTCTCTTCAGCCTGCCGTCGTTCTCCAATGATCTGCTGAAGCAGGGAATCCCATGGAAAAAGGTCCCCGCCAACGCCCTGCTCAGGTAGCCTGCTGTTAGTGCTTCAGCAGTCACCCTCTTCAGCTAACCCCATAACTGAATATAGGAAACTGTCATTAGTTTGATCAATTCAACTGTCATCATCTTGTTTCTCTTTCTCTTGAACACTGAAAATATTTCTACTTTTCCAAGGGATGCACCTTTTTAAAAATCTGTTTTGGTGGCTTAGTGATGTCATAGCTATGACTCCACATTTACCAAATTAACTGCTTAGCTGACTTGTGTAACTGCCCTTCGCACTTACGGACCCCCTCCCTCCTGTGCATGCAGGCGCTTTGCCCACTTGCTGGCTAAGAAGGACATCTCGTGCCCCGAGGTGAAGAAAGACCTGCTGAGGAGAGTGAAGAGTGCCATCTCCTCCACGGCCGAGCGCTTCTCTGGATACATGCAGAACGTAAGACCTCCAATATTAACACAACGACCACCGTTTAGGCTCTTAAGCGGTCTACTCGCTCACGTGGTGGCTTCCTCATCCTCTCTCCCTCTCTCTCCAGGATGCCCATGAGTTTTTGAGCCAGTGCTTGGACCAGCTGAAGGAGGACGTGGAGAAAGTGAACAAGAGCTGGAAGAGCGAGTCACCAGCGGCCGCGTGGGACGAGCCTCCCCAGCAGGCGGCCGCAGCCCGGCCCGGGGAGGAAGCGGACACCTCGCGCATCTACACCTGCCCTGTGGTGGTAAACATGGAGTTTGAGGTGCAGCACACCATCACCTGCAAAGGGTGAGTGAGTTGTCCCCTTTTCAGACTGTGGATTCCTGGGTGGTACGTCTCTTCCCTGATGGTAAATAAAATAATGGATCTCCATTACACACTGTGTATTAGACATAAAAAAAATACGTCAAAAGATTTTCTCATAAGAGTCCATTCCTTTAGTTTTTGTGATATTACCTTTCCTAAGCATATAAAGTTGTCATAAAGACTGACTGGTTGTCATGTTATAACAAAGGTTGTGCTGTTATGTGTGGTTTCAGCTGTGGCGAGGTGGTGACCAAGCGGGAGCAGTTCAACGACCTGTCCATCGACCTGCCTCGCAGGAAGAAGACCATCCCTCTCCGGTCCATCCAGGACTCTCTGGACCTCTTCTTCAGGGTGCGTGCCCACTGTCCCCACAAACCACCAGGCTAGCTCCTGTCCCCACAAACCACCAGGCTAGCTCCTGTCCCCACAAACCACCAGGCTAGCTCCTGTCCCCACAAACCACCAGGCTAGCTCCTGTCCCCACAAACCACCAGGCTAGCTCCTGTCCAAATATATATACACTAAAGGCAATGAAACAGTCCACCTAGTATTCTAATGTTAATATGAAGTAGATGAGTTGAATCTGTCTGTGTATTCCAGATCGAGGAAATCGAGTATTCGTGTGAGAAGTGCAGCGGGAAAGCGGCGACAGTGACTCATAAATTCAGCCGACTCCCCAGGTATGCCCATTTGTCTACAACCGTGATCTTTAGCCCTGGTGTTAACAATACCAACTTTATACTAAGCTGATCATTCACCTGGGTTGTCTTAATTGAAATTGCACCCTATTCCCTATATAGTGCATGGGAATAGGGTGCCATTTGGGACATTGCCGTGGCTAAAGTGAATGAGAAAGCGGTATTGGGTTCTACAGAAAAACCCTAAATCCATTATTTTCCTTTCTATCTTTTCCCTCATGCAGAGTTCTGATCCTGCACCTGAAGCGCTACAGCTTCAACGCCCAGCTGTCACTGAACAGTAAGCTAGGCCAGCAGGTGATGATCCCTCGCTACCTCACGCTGCTTTCCCACTGCACGGACGCCACCCGCCCCCCACTCAGTCTCGGCTGGAGCGCACACGCCGCCATGTAAGAAACACCCCCACCAGCAGATTTAGAGACGGTGAACATTGTCCCAATGTTTGCGGCATAATATACTATTAGAAATTTTCTTTGGAAGTCACCACACACGGGTCTTCAACAACATTATTTGGACATTTAGCATACAGTGAGGGAAAAAAGTATTTGATCCCCTGCTGATTTTGTACATTTGCCCACTGACAAAGACATGATCAGTCTATCATTTTAATGGTAGGTTTATTTGAACAGAATAACAACAAAAACCAGAAAAACGCATGTCAAAAATGTTATAAATTGATTAGCATTTTAATTAGGGAAATAAGTATTTGACCCCTCTGCAAAACATGACTTAGTACTTGGTGGCAAAACCCTTGTTGGCAATCACAGTTGGCCACCAGGTTTGCACACATCTCAGGAGGGATTTTGTCCCACTCCTCTTTGCAGATCTTCTCCAAGTCATTAAGGTTTCGAGGCTGACATTTGGCAACTCGAACCTTCAGCTCCCTCCACAGATTTTCTATGGGATTAAGGTCTGGAGACTGGCTAGGCCACTCCAGGACCTTAATGTGCTTCTTCTTGAGCCACTCCTTTGTTGCCTTGGCTGTGTGTTTTGGGTCATTGTCATGCTGGAATACCCATCCACGACCCATTTTCAATGCCCTGGCTGAGGGAAGGAGGTTCTCACCCAAGATTTGATGGTACATGGCCCCGTCCATCGTCCCTTTGATGCAGTGAAGTTGTCCTGTCCCCATAGCAGAAAAACACCCCCAAAGCATAATGTTTCCACCTCCATGTTTGACGGTGGGGATGATGTTCTTGGGGTCATAGGCAGCATTCCTCCTCCTCCAAACACGGCGAGTTGAGTTGATGCCAAAGAGCTCGATTTTGGTCTCATCTGTCCACAACACTTTCACCCAGTTCTCCCCTGAATCATTCATATGTTCATTGGCAAACTTCAGATGGGCCTGTATATGTGCTTTCTTGAGCAGGGGGACCTTGCGGGCGCTGCAGGATTTCAGTCCTTCACCTTCACGGCGTAGTGTGTTACCAATTGTTTTCTTGGTGACTACTGTTGTCACCTTCTCACCAAGCTGCTTGGCGATGGTCTTGTAGCCCATTCCAGCCTTGTGTAAGTCTACAATCTTGTCCCTGACATCCTTGGAGAGCTCTTTGGTCTTGGCCATGGTGGAGAGTTTGGAATCTGATTGATTGATTGCTTCTGTGGACAGGTGTCTTTTATACAGGTAACAAGCTGAGATTAGGAGCACTCCCTTTAAGAGTGTGCTCCTAATCTCAGCTCGTTACCTGTATAAAAGACACCTGGGAGCCAGAAATCTTTCTGATTGAGAGGGGGTCAAATACTTATTTCCCTCATTAAAATGCAAATCAATTTATAACATTTTTGACATGTGTTTTTCTGGATTTTTTTGTTGTTATTCTGTCACACTGTTCAAATAAACCTACCATTAAAATTATAGACTGATAATTTCTTTGTCAGTGGGCAAACGTACAAAATCAACAGGGGATCAAATACTTTTTTCCCTCACTGTAGCACTGTTTTCTAACCTACCACGCTCTGTTTTTTTGTACAGGTCACGAACACTGAAGGCCTCCCAGTCGGTGAACTCCTCCTCACTACTTCGGTAAGCCATTCATTCAACCTCTCTCTAACAACATGGAATCACTAACACACCCTTTTACCTCCAACCCAGGAAGGCAGATGTTTTCGTGATTGGGCGCAAAGTGTAGATGTTTGGTTTCTTCTAACTACTGTTTTTATTTCCTTCCTCCAGGAAAGTGTCTCTGAAGGCGGGGGGCAGCTCCAGCACTATCCTGGTGGACTCTGACAGCGAGGAGGAGCTGAGCCGGAAGGCGGTGAGCCGCAAGCGCCGCCTCAGCGAATGTCTGCCCGATGAAGACAGAGCAGACGAGGTGGGGGCACCAGAGGGACCAGGGGGGAAAAGATACATTACTACACCCTAACCGCTGACATGGCCAGGTTGAAAGGCCAGGTGTTTAGTGTGTGACATGGTGGGCTCTGGTTGTGTGTTTAGGTCCAGCGAGGCTTGCACCACACAGACGCGTCAGACTTCAACAGCATCAACGATGAGGAAATGCTGGCGGCGGTGCTGGAAATGAGTCGCCAGGACGCTGGGCTCTCCTGCCCCGCCCCTGAGGACGAGCCAACCAGCAGCCCTGATACGGGCTTCGGAGATGCCGACCCCGAAGCCCAGGAGAGGAACTACCACGCAGACCTGCTGGAGACGGACACTAAGCCGTCTGCAGGTAACCACCCATCTCAGAAACACACACTCACCAGCCAGGAGGGACAGGGAGGTGTCAGCTGAAACAGATAGTTCACAAAAATATTTTTTTGAGACTACACACCAAAACAGCTCTCTGTAGTTACTTACTAGATGCCCATTCATTTCATTGAACTATGCTATACTAAGTCATGAAGACTATAGACTTGAATTAGGCAAAACGCATGCAGAAGCCTCTGTTTTTAAATGTGTGTTTCACCAACCAATGCTCAATGGAGTGTGTATCTGTGTGTGTAGATGTGCTGGACTCCCTGGACCTGACCATGGACGAGAACAAGGAGAACCAGACCCCCGAGGGGGTGCAGGGGGATCTGGACTGGGTGCAGCAGTATAGCCTGGAGCAGGAGAGGGAGGAGCAGGAGCTGCAGCAAGCCCTGGCCCAGAGCCTGCAGGAGCACGTAAGACTCAACACACACACTAGGACATTACAGAGAGAGACCCCCTATACAGCTCTACCCTTGGACATTTTACTGTAGGGGAAACCTGATGTTGGTGGTTCACCGATGTTTTTGTAATGTAGGCTAATCCTCCTTCTGTAATGTTTTGGTGATCCACAAGAAAAACAAAAATCTGTGTCTTGAGCTCGGACCCACCATCACTATATAGGGCCAATGCCACCTATGTGAACTTTTGAGAGAGAGAGCCGGACAGGACAGCTGGTTATTGCATCACCATGACGCAAACCTGACATTTGCGATGTGTGGTTTCTCCTACAGGAAGCCCAAGAGATGAGGGAGGATGACGACCTGAAGAGAGCCACAGAGCTCAGCCTGCAAGGTACAGCATAGACACTGCTACCCCTTTTTAAGCCAATACGCAGCTTCACTAAAGTAAAGTAGTGTGTGTCTGTGTTTGCACATTTTGACATGTCTTGATTCTCCCTCGTTGTTCTCCGCCCTCCCAGAGTTCAACAATTCGTTGCCGGAGCTGCTGTGTTCAGACGAGGACTCTGGGAACGAGGAGGTGCTGGACATGGAGTACAGCGAAGCAGAGACCGAGGATCTGAAGAGAAATGCTGAGGTACGGAGTCACCCTCCTACTTTTCTCTCCCACACTAACCTTCACCAGAGGCCTCATTTATCAACTGCATACATTTCACTAAATTCAGATTTACGTGAAGATTCTAGGACTTGCGTGGCAACAAATTATTGGGATTTCGCAAACTGTCGTATGCAACATACAGTTGGAAGTCGGCGGTTTACATACACCTTAGCCAAATACATTTAAACTCAGTTTTTCACCATTTCTGACATTTAATCCTAGTAGAAATTCCCTGTCTTAGGTCAGTTAGGATCACCACTTTATTTTAAGAATGTGAAATGTCAGAATAATAGTAGAGAGAATGATTTATTTCAGCTTTTATTTATTTCATCACATTCCCAGTGGGTCAGAAGTTTACATACACTCATTTAGTATTTGGTTGCGTTGCCTTTAAATTGTTTAACTTCGGTCAAACGTTTCGGGTAGCCTTCCACAAACTTCCCACAATAAGTTGCATTTTGGCCCATTCCTCCTGACAGAGCTGGTGTAACTGAGTCAGGTTTGTAGGCCTCCTTGCTCGCACACGCTTTTTCAGTTCTGCCCACATATGTTCAATAGGATTGAGGTCAGGGCTTTGTGATGGCCACTCCCAATACCTTGACTTTGTTGTCCTTAAGCCATTTTGCCACAACTTTGGAAGTATGCTTGGGGTCATTGTCCATTTGGAAGACCCATTTGCGACCAAGCTTTAACTTCCTGACTGATGTATTGAGATGTTGCTTCAATATATCCACATAATTTTCCTTCCTCATGATGCCATCTATTTTGTGAAGTGCACCAGTCTCTCCTGCAGCAAAGCACCCCCACAGCATGATGCTGTCACCCCCAGTGCTTCACGGTTGGGATGGTGTTCTTGCAACCGACCCCCTTTTCCCTCCAAACATAACGATGGTCATTATGGCCAAACAGTTCTATTTTTGTTTCATCAGACCAGACGACATTTCTCCAAAAAGTACAATCTTTGTCCCCATGTGCAGTTGCAAACCGTAGTCTGGCTTTTTTATGGCGGTTTTGGAGCAGTGGTTTCTTCCTTGCTGAGTGGCCTTTCAGGTTATGTCGATATAGGACTCATTTTACTGTGGATATAGATACTTTTGTACCTGTTTCCTCCAGCATCTTCACAGGGTCCTTTGCTGTTGTTCTGGGATTCATTTGCACTTTTTCGCACCAAAGTACGTTCATTTCTAGGAGACAGAATGCATCTCCTTCCTGAGCGGTATGATGGCTGCGTGGTCCCATGGTGTTTACACTTGCGTACTATTGTTTGTACAGATGAACGTGGTACCTTCAGGCGTTTGGAAATTGCTCCCAAGGATGAACCAGACTTGTGGAGGTCTACAATTTTTTTTCTGAGGTCTTGGCTGATTTCTTTTGATTTTCCTATGATGTCAAGCAAAGAGGCACTGAGTTTGAAGGTAGGCATTGAAATACATCCACAGGTACACCTCCAATTGACTCAAATGATGTCAATTAGCCTATCAGAAGCTTCTAAAGCCATGACATCATCAACTTAGTGTATGTAAACTTCTTACCCACTGGAATTGTGATACAGTGAATTATAAGTGAAATAATCCTAACCGACTTGCCAAAAGATGTCCTAACCGACTTGCCAAAACTATAGTTTGTTAACAAGAAATTTGTGTAGTGGTTCAAAATTAGTTTTAATGACTCCAACCTAAGTGTATGTTAACTTCTGACTTCAGCTGTATATGCATGTTTTCATTGATTAATCAGAGCCCTACTATATTTGTGCGCTCGTGAACGAGCGTTACAATACCGCCTGGAAAATGCACTTTTATGGTAACAAAAACACCCTCATTTGCTGTATGATTTAGAGATGTTGGAACTGGGTCATGATAGTTTCTAAAATAAAGTGCAATTTGATCAGATTTTGACCTTTATCTCCTGAATGTTTTGGCATTGCGGTCCAAAAAGTCATTTTCTGACCTCTTCTTCCATGGGCAAACGTATAAAAAGTTTTGATTAAATCAAAAGGGATGCAGTCAAAAAAGAATTGAATTAAAATGGATTTACCCCTGAACAATGTTTTGTATGCATTATTACAGTGGTCACCAACCTTTTCTGAGCAGAGATCACGTTGAGTCAAAATGCAGGCCGAGATCTACCGCTCATTCTTTTTTTGTAACATTCTTAAAAAACGTAAGCCTATGCAACATTAACCTATTAAAAACTATTCTGTAGCAATGAGGTATGTGCAGTAGGCTATAAGCACAATACATTATCACTGCATATTGGCTATGCTTGAATTGCCCTGCCAATGGCATTGCAATGTTCTTCTCAGACAATTTTAGGTATATGATCACACTGGTAATGGATAATGTGTTGTATTTACTTTTATTTTACTGGACTGATGGTGCCTGCATCTTGATTGTCAGTCTCAGCGTCGGGAGAGACCAAAAAGGAGACTCTTCCAGCTGATGGCAGAACTCGGAGTCACACTTAATTATTTCTGCCTCATGCACCAATTCATGTTGTTACTCGGATGACCAGAGAACGTGAAATATTCCTTGATTATAGTAAAAAGGACAAGCCGCTAATAAAAACGCAAGCCTATCGATAACACTTTGTAGCACGAGTGGATAGGGAGAAGCGTGTTTTATGGCTTATTAAAGTGTTGAATAAAAAGGTGAACATGAACTCACTCACTCATAAAAACAGCATCTATTTGCTGTATTCGCAGACAGTCTCTAGTCATGGTTTTAAACGTTTTGAAATCTCACAGTATCAACTTCGCTGTGGGCTCGTGGAAGCTACACAGTGATCTGAGATATCTGATTGGCCCGCTGGGTAGGCGGAGTTTGTACCTTCAGACACATGAAATGGTTCAAAAAGGGGGGTGAGCAACTTGGCATTTGTAACAAAGCGCAGGGATGCATGATAAACTGAGTCCAGCCTCTGTAACACAAAAGGGGCTGCATGCATGTACAAGAAGTCACCATAGTCAATAACCGAAAGAAAAGTGGCTTGAACAAGCTTCTTTCTAGCCTCAAAAGGAAAGCAAGCCTTGTTACGAAAATAAAACCCACATTTTAAGTTTAAGCTTCTTCACAAGATTATCCATATGAACTTTTTAGGTTGACTTATCGTCCAACCATATACTGTTTCTAGGTATATGTAGGATGACACCTTTTCAATGGATGTTCTGGTACGCTGAGTTTTCGTCACTGATCTTTTGGACAAATCACAATTTCGCAGACGCTCGCATTTTTTGAATTTCGGAAGGAGTGGGGACATTTGGCCCATAAACTTGTCTGAAACTGGCTGAGAGTTTCCGTTTAGGGGGCTGGACAATAGGTTTGGGCGGTATTCTGATTTCCATACTGTATTACCGGCAGTGCACACAAGGGGTGCTATTTCTTTCCAAATGTATAGTTTTATTATGCTAACAAAAGTACTAGCAAATTCCTATAGCGGACGCAAGCTAAATGCTAAGAAGCGCAAGCGAACATAAACTAAATGCAAGGACAGAGAACCCAGCTCATAAAGTTATATACCGGTAACTATCTCAAAAGGATACTCACACTTGAACCAGGATGGGATTGTCTCTGCTTTAACCAAGAAGCTTGATCTTGCAAGCTAGCCAACTATAGCTAACAAGTTAGCTAACCAAATGCATAGCTGGGGCCCTGAGCTGAAGAAAATGTATTTGAATGTATAGATAGTTAACTTATAGTTAGTTATAAGCTATTTAGCTGGCAAACATTAGTAGTGGATTAGTAGAGAATTTGATCACCTCTTGTGCTGCTCAACAGTGGATCGTCACGTGCTCTTTGTAAATAAACAAACCATGTGACTGGCTCAATTGAATTTGTGAATATAATACTTTTTTGTATAAAACATTTTTGGGACAGTATTGCAAATCATACCGTCCGTATTTCAAAATACCCAGTTGTGTGGTATATATCGCCCAAGCTTAGTGGAGGCTTCGCTAGTTTTGTTAAAATCTTTTCTAACGTGTCCCCCAATAATTTCATAAAGAATCTGATGCAATTACGCAAGATTTGAGTTCTGGGTGTCCAAGATTACAGAAACATTTTGAAATGGAGTGAAACAGCCCAGCTGAACACCTCTTCCTTTTCTTGTTCCCAGAGCGGAGACTTGGCCAACTCGTTCCGGCTGATCAGTGTAGTCAGTCACATTGGGAGCAGCTCCTCCTCTGGTAAGCACTGCCCTGCCTATAGACCACAGTCTGCTAAGATATATGGCTATGTTACGAGACACCGTTATTTGTGGTTACCAGAAATGAGTGCAATATATTAATGTTATGATTCTGTTTTGGTAACGACTGATATCTGTGCATCTCATAACTACTGTGTAGCAGGAGCCACAGATTATCAATCATCTGTAAACAAATGTAAAGCATAAAAGTAAAATGTGTCAGCTGAGGCAGCATACGAGGACGATACCATGAGAACCCAAGACACTGGATACTTGTAGTCTAATATTAACCTATAATTCTATCTCCGGACCCTCAGGCCATTACATCAGCGACGTGTACGACATGAAGAAGCAGTCGTGGCTGACCTACAACGACCTGGACGTGTCGCGCACGCAGGAGGCCACGGTGCAGAGAGACCGCGACCGCAGCGGATACATCTTCTTCTACATGCACAAGTTAGTCTCCTTCTCCCAGCTTCAGTTGTGTGCTGGGTTGTGTTCCTTTGGTGCAACAATGTGAAATGTGTCCAATAAGAAAGCAGATTTTCAATTTCAGTTGCAAAATGTTTTTGTACAGTGTCCCCTACTGAACACAACCCTGTTCTCTTATGATAAGTGATAAACCACCAGCCTCCCACCATATGCCCTATACCAGTCTGTCTGAGTGACTGAGTATAATCCAGTGGAGGCTGAGAGAGACCCAGCTCTAGTAAGCAGGGCTGTCCATACCGATTGGCAACTCTGAGCAGAAGCTGGAATAAAATCCCCCCTCTTTCATGCTATTAGAAAAGCTTATTTGTTCAAATTTCTTTCTGTTTTGTCAGGAAAAAAAAGTGGGAAAGTGAAACATTCTGGTAACTGGAAGTTTGCTGGGGGGTTTTAAGATCAGGACATTAATAAAACTAAAGTTGTACATTCAGTTATTGTGTGCGATATTGTGGGGAACTTAGTGTAATGTGTGTATCCTATCATACACTGGAACCCACTGTAAGGGGTGTGGATTTGTTTCAGTGAGCCATGCCTTGACTGACTACTGTGTATGTTCCCTCCTCTCCTCAGGGATGTGTTTGAGGAGCTGTCTGAGCTAGAGAGGACAGGGGCCAGTGGAGGAGCCTCTGAGGCAGGGAGGACTGTCCTGCAGCCCCTCTGAGCCACCAGGCTGTCATCAGTCACACACACACCAAACAACACACACTCCGACAGCACTAAGCTCTCCCCAACAGATGGGTCGGGTTTGGGATGAAAGAGAACCCTTCTCCAGTACTACTGATTGCCGTCCACATTTTGCCATCTTCATGCACTTTGTCCCTTTTTAAAACAACAACAGGCCATGGTAGCTTCTGTCACAAAGGCAGGCTCAGACGTCAGCACACAGACAGCCAACGTCCTTCTCTCCTGGTCCGTTCAGAAATGAGACACACAGCGCACTCAAAAGAAAAGAAAGAGTTGACCGTTCTTTGTTTATTCAACCCTGAGCGATATTAGCCCTGAACTTTCAAGGCTTCTATATTAAATGTTCTATGATTTGTTGAATAACTTGATGTAAAATAGTTTTTCTTGGCACATGATATTAACTGTCATGCATTTAAGAACTTAAATAGCAAGTGTCAGATGCTAGATGCAGATGCTCCTTGGACTGTATGGTTTTTACTTTTAATTTCCAATATAATTTAAAAAATGTATTCTTCTAAAATATAATTTAGGGTAAGGAGGGTGTACCTTTTTGTTCTATACATTGCATTCGGAAGGTATTCAGACCCCTTAAATAGTTTTTTCCCCTCATCAATCTACACACAATACCCCATAATGACAAAGCAAAAACAGGTTTTTAGAAATTTTTGCAAAAGTATAAAAAAAAATGACAAATCACATATACATAAGTATTCAGACTCTACTCAGTATTTTTTTGAAGCATCTTTGGCAGCGATTACAGCCTCGAGTCTTCTTGGGTATGACGCTACAAGCTTGGCACACCTGTATTTAGGGAGTTTCTCCCATTCTTCTCTGCATATCCTCTCAAGCTCTGTCAGGTTTGATGGGGAGCGTCGCTGCATAGCTATTTTCAAGTCTCTCCAGAGATGTTCGATCTGGTTCAAGTCCGGGAGTGGCTGGGCCACTCAAGAACATTCAGAGACTTGTCCCGAAGCCACTCCTACGTTTTCTTGCCTGTGTGCTTAGAGTTGTTGTCCTGTTGGAAGGTGAACCTTCGCCCCAGTCTGAGCTCCTGAGCGCTTTGGAGCAGGTTTTCATCAAGGATCTCTGTATTTTGCTCCGTTCATCTTTCTCTCTATCCTGACTAGTCTCCCAGTCCCTGCTGCTGAAAAACATCCCCACAGCATGATGCTGCCACCACCATGCTTCACTGTAGGGATGGTGCCAGGTTTCCTCCAGACGTGACTCTTGGCATTTAGGCCAAAGAGTTCAATCTTGGTTTCATCAGAACAGAGAATCTTGTTTCTCACGGTCTGAGAGTCCTTTAGGTGCCTTTTGGCAAACTCCAAGTGGGCAGTCATGTGCCTTTTACTGAGGAGTGGCTTCCATCCGGCCACTCTACCATAAAGACCTGATTGGTGGAGTGCTGCAGAGATGGTTGTCCTTCTGGAAGATTCTCCCATCTCCACAGAGGAACTCTGGAGCTCTGTCAGAGTGACCATCGGGTCCTTGGTCACCTCCCTGAGCAAGGCCCTTCTCCCCTGATTGCTCAGTTTGGCCGGGTGGCCAGCTCTAGGAAGGGTCTTAATGGTTCCAAACTTCTTCTATTTAAGAATGATGAAGGCCACTGTGTTCTTGGACCTTCAATGATGCAGAAATGTTTTAGTACCATTCCCCAGATCTGTGCCTCGACACAATCCTGTCTCGGAGCTCTACGGACAATTCCTTCGACCTCATGGCTTGGTTTTTGCTCTGACATGCACTGTCAACTGTGGGACCTTATATAGACAGGTGTGTGCCTTTTCTAAATCTTGTCCAATCAATTGAATTTACCACAGGTGGACTCCAATGACGTTGTAGAAACATCTCAAGGATGATCAATGGAAACAGGATACACCTGAGCTCAATTTTGAGTCTCATAGCAAAGGGTCTGAATGCTTATGTAAATAAGGTATTCATGTTTTTTATTTGTATTTAATTAGCAAAAAAATCGAGACCTGTTTTCTCTTTGCCGTTATGGGGTGTGTTTTTTTTTAAGTTTGTTTTATCCATTTTAGAATAAGACTGTAATGTAACAAAATGTTGAAAAAGGAAGTGTTCTGAATACTTTCCGAATGCACTGTGCAGCAAAACGTGGTGCAGTATTTATTTGGTGGCATGGATTTGCCAATTCTGCTTATTTGTTTAAAGTCTGTTCATTAGAGTTGGGTGGTAGAGGATGTTTCCAATTTCTTTCAATGATTTACTTATGGACTGTTTGTTGTTTTAGTCATGTTTTATAAATCTCAACAAGCTAAACACAGTCGCTTGTCTTTTATAAGCTTACGATCCTATGGGTTCCCTAGTGCAGGGGTTTTCAAACTGGGGTCTGCACATTTAGCATATTTTTTGGAGGAACAATATTTTATGAATTTCGCTAGCTGCAACAGAATACCATCCTGGATACCATTTGTATGCCTCTGCGTCTAGTATGAAGGAAGTTCGAGGTAGTTTCATGAGCCAATGCTATCTAGTGTTAGCGAAATGACGAAGTCTACAGGAACAGTTAGCATTCTAGCTGTTGCTCTTCATCCTACTCTGGGAAAGTAAATTAGATAAATGGCTTCATTGCCAAAATCTCGAACTATCCCTGGAGGAAATTATCATTGGAGCTAATTACAGGGTTTTTTCTGTATAGAACAATTCTTAGGCGGGCCATCTAAGTGGTAATTTCGGGATGGGAAGCGGACAAAACCGGATAGAAGGCATGCAGAAAAGATATTGAACTATATATTTTTTTTATAATCCCATCTTTTGAGAACTAACAATCAAATAAAAGATAGTCAGAGAATCTAACATTTTTTATTTAAAGAAAACAGGCATTCAGGGCACATTCCCATTGATTTTGTTATGTTTGAGCAAAGGGAACACAACATTAGCCATGGCAAAATGCATAGAATTGCAGGAAATTAGCTTTTAAAACTGCAAAATTGTCTCTCGGCTCCATGCCAAACTAGAATAGCTGGAAATTGGCATAAAAACTGCAAAACTTTATCAGCTCAATGGAAAAATGTGTGGAATTGCTGAAAATGTGCTTTACAACAGCAACATTTTCTCTACGCCGCCAAGATACAGTACCTTTCTAGCTAATAGACTAGAGCTTACACTTCCTCTTCCAATGAACTGTATGGAGGTCCAAATAATGTAACTGTCTACCAAATCTATTCATTTTAAAATGTTGATTACTTCTACTTGCCATTATCATTCACCTGTTAAGATGTTACTTTTTTTGGCTAACATATGATTGGGTGGTCCCTGGGTCGCCGGTCCCTGACCAAGAAAAGTTTGAAAACCCCGGCCCTAATGCCTCCCAGTAAAGAACTGGTAGTTTATATTTATTTTTCTAAAGAGCTTTACTTTGAAAGATGCACAACTACTTTGTCTAGAATGTGTTCTTCAAACCTCTGAAAAACAATGCAGAAACCTGTATTACATGTGTAAGCTATCCTGAATATGCTTTGCTTTTAAGAAGGCATAACTATTTATACTGAACAAAAATAAACGCAACATTTAACAATTTGACTGAGTTACAGTTCATATAAGGAAATCGGTCAATTGAAATTTATTCATTAGGCCCTTATCATGGATTTCACATGACTGGGCAGGAGCGCAGCCATGGGTGGTTCTGGGAGTGCATAGGCCCACCCACTGGAGAGCCAGGCCCAGCCAATCAGAATTAGTTTTTCCCCACAAAGTGGCTTTATTACAGACAGAAATACTCCTCAGTTTCATCAGCTGTCCGGGTGGCTGGTCTCAGACGAAGCCGGATGTGGAGGTCCTAGGCTGGTGTGGTTACACGTGGTCTGCGGTTGTGAGGCTGGTTGGACATACTGCCAAACTCTTTAAAACGACGGAGGTGGCTTATGGTAGAGAAATGAACATTCAATTCTCTGGCAACAGCTCTGGTTGATATTCCTGCAGTCAGCATGCCAATTGCACGCTCCCTCAAAACTTGAGACATCTTGGCATGACAAAACTGCACAGCACAAGGTGCACCTGTGTCGTGATCATGCTGTTTAATCAGCTTCTTGATATGACACACCTGTCAGGTGGCTGGATTATCTTGGCAATGGAGAAATTTTCACTAACAGGGATGTTAACAAATTTGTGCACAACATTTGAGAGAAGCCTTTTGTGCATATGGACAAATTCTGGGATCTTTTATTTCAGCTCAGGAAACGTTGGACCAATACTTTACATGTTGCGTTTATATTTTTGTTCAGTATATTTTAACAAAGGTCTCAGTTTAAAATTGCCAGCTCGGATGTCTCATCACACCTTTTATTTTTTTCTCTCCATCTGACAAGGCCAGTATTCACATCTTTTAGACATGCTTTTGCTAAGATTAGGGTTTGTCTAGCTATTTTCTGGTCTCCTGCTTGCATAAATGAGGAGAATAAACGGGTGTCATGTTGACGTGAGTGTCTGATGTGGAGTAGCAGAGCTTTTTAGTTGTTCAGGCTCCAGTATTTGACTCTTCCTACAGTGCATTTTAATAAAAATGTATGTGAAAACAATTGTTTTGGATGTTTTAATTGCCATCAATGTTAAGTTGTAAGTAGTGTCCACAGTCAGTAGTGCAGTTTGATTGTGAAAATAGAGTAGTCTGTCTAGTTCCATAGGTAATAGGCCATCAACAATCACAAAAGGGCTGCCATGGTCCGTGGCTATCACTTTTGGAAATGGACAGTTCATTAATGGTCAAGGAGTCGTCTGTGCAAGTTTCAAAATCCATTCAATGCAAAGTCCTTCCATTGCAGGTGGTTCTTCTTGGTGGGCACCTGTCTTGGCTTCATTTCTTGGTCAGAGGCACCAGGTGTCTGCCGGTGAATCTGAATAACTCATTCATAATGTCGCTTTCCTCCTGCAACATCTGGGAGCACAGATAGACAACTGTTACAAGGGAAATCATTGAAAAATGTTCATATCCCACTGGGCACACACTGGTTGAATCAACATCGTTTCAATGTAATTTGTCAACGTATTGTGACGCGGAATCATGGAAAATACATTGGATTTGAAAAAAGTCAGCCAGTACTTTATCTCATTTCAACCAGCGTTGTAAACATTGAACCTAGGGTAAAACTTCAACTTAAATACATTGACTTAACCTGACTAACAGGTTGTTGTTACATCACTAATTTAAACATAATCATAAATGTATACATTGAAATTGCATTAAATTCCACAGAAACGTTAATATTTTTCATACTATATTGGGTGGTTGAAATTATGTAGAATTACTTTTTATTTATTTTATTTTATTTGACCTTGTTTCAATGTTGATAGTAAAATGGTATGTTTGAATAAATGTAATTGTTTCAACTACATGCAATCTACCTAAATAAAGAGGTATATTGAAAAAAACATTGACTCCTACTGGTATATGAGGGCAAGTCTACCATCCAGATGCCTATCTCTATGCCTCCTGCTTAGCTTTGGAAGCAAGCTGTGTTCAATTCAGCTGAGCTATCATGCCAACACATTTAGACGTTGATCAGCTTCCATAGCCTAAGGGAAGATGTTTGGGGGTTGTGGTGCTGTGATTTTGAGCATTTCTCTATTGCCAAGATAATCCATCCACCTGACAGGTGTGGCATATCAAGAAGCTGATTAAACAGCATGATCATTACACAGGTGCACCTTGTGCTGGGGACAAAAGGCCACAATGTCACAGATGACCCAAGTTGCAATTGGCATGCTGACTGCAGGAATGTCCATCAGAGCTGTTGCCAGAGAATTTAATGTTAATTTCTCTACCAAAATCCGCCTCCAACGTAGTTTTAGAGAATTTGGCAATACATCTAACCGGCCTCACAACCGCAGACCACGTGTAACCACGCCAGCCCAGGACCTCCACATCCGGCTTCTTCACCCGCAGGATCCTCTGAGACCAGCCACCCGGACAGCTGATGAAACTGTGGGTTTGCACAGCCGAAGAATTTCTGCACAAATTGTCAGAAACCGTCTCAGGGAAGCTCATCTGCGTGCTTGTCGTCCTCACCAGGGTCTTGACCTGACTGCAGTTGGCATTGTAACCGACTTCAGTGGGGAAATGCTCACCTTCGATGGCCGCTGGAGAAGTGTGTTCTTCACAGATGAATGCTGGTTTCAACTGTACCGGGCAGATGGCAGACAGCGTGTATGGCATCGTGTGGGTGAGCGGTTTGCTGATGTCAATGTTGTGAACAGAGGGCCCCATGGTGGCGGTGGGGTTATGGTATGGGCAGGCATAAGCGATGGACAACAAACGCAATTGCATTTTATCGATGGCAATTTGAATGCACAGACATACCGTGATGAGATCCTGAGGCCCATTGTCATGCCATTCATCCGCCGCCATCAGCATGATAATGCACTGCACCATGTCGCAAGGATCTGTACACAATTCCTGGAAGCTGAAAATGTCCCAGTTCTTCCATGGCCTTTATACTCACCAGACATATCACCCATTGAGCATGTTTGGGATGCTCTGGATCGTTGTGTACGACAGTGTGTTCCAGTTCCCGCCAATACCCAGCAACTTCGCACGGCCATTGAAGAGGGGTGGGACAACATTCCACAGGCCACAATCAACAGTCTGATCAACTCTATGCGAAGGAGATGTGTCACGCTGCATGAGGCAAATGGTGGTCACACCAGATACTGATTGGTTTTCTGATCCACGGCCCTAACTTGTTTTTTTAAAGGTATCTGTGTCAGGGCCATTATGAAAAATGTATGCACTCACTAACTGTAAGTCGCTCTGGATAAGAGTGTCTGCTAAATGACTAAAATGTAAATGTAAAATTACCAGTCATTGAAATCCATAGAGTAGGGCCTAATGTATTTCAATTGACTGATTTCCTTATATGAACTGTAACTCAGTAGAATCTTTGAAATTGTTGCATGTTGCATTTATTTTTTTGTTCAATATATATATATATATATATATATATATATATATATATATAGGGATGTAGCTCAGTTGGTAGAGCATGGCGTTTGCAACGCCAGGGTTGTGGGTTCGATTCCCACGGGGGGCCTGTATGAAAAATAAAAAAATAATGTATGCACTCACTAACTGTAAGTCGCTCTGGATAAGAGCGTCTGCTAAATGACTAAAATGTAAATATATATACACACACACACACACACAGAGTTCCAGTCAAAAGTTTGGACACACTTACTCATACATTGTAGGATAATAGTGAAGATATCAATACTATACATATGGAAACATGTAGTAACCAAAAAAGTGTTAAACAAATCAAAATATATTTTATATTTGAGATTCTTCAAAGTAGCCACCCTTTGCCTTGATGACAGCTTTGCACACTCTTGGCATTCTCTCAACCAGCTTCATGAGGTAGTCACCTGGAATGCATTTCAATTAACAGGTGTGCCTTCTTAAAAGTTAATTTGTGGAATTTATTTTCTTCTTAATCCGTTTGAGCCAATCAGTTGTGTTGTGACAAGGTAGGGGTGATATACAGAAGATAACCCTATTTGGTAAAAGACCAAGTCAATATTATGGCAAGAACAGCTCAAATAAGCAAAGAGAAATGACAGTCCATCATTACTTTAAGACATGAAGGTCAGTCAATCTGGAAAATGTCAAGAACTTTTAAAGTTTCTTCAAGTGCAGTTGCAAAAACCATCAAGCGCTATGATGAAACTGGCTCTCACGAGGACCGCCACAGGAAAGGAAGACCCAGAGTTACCTCTAATGCAGAGGATAAGTTCATAGTTTTGATGTCTTCACTATTATTCTACAATGTAAAGAAAATAGTACAAATAACACAAAATGAGCCTAATGAGTAGGTGTCCAAACTTTTGACTGGTACTGTAAATGAATAGAGCACTGACCTCAATACCATTGAACACCTTTGGGATGAATTGGAACGCTGACTGCGAGCCAGGCCTAATCGCCCAACATCAGTGCCCGACCTCACTCTTGTGGCTGAATGGAAGCAAGTCCCCACAGCAATGTTCCATCATCTAGTGGAAAGCCTTCCCCAAAGAGTGGAGGCTGTTTTAGCAGCAAAGGGGCGACCAACTCCATATTAATGCCCATGATTTTGGAATTAAATGTTCGACGAGCAGGTGTCCACATACTTTTGGTCATGTAGTGTAGTTGTAGTCACCTCCAAAGTAACTATTTGTTCCCCCCCAAAATAGTTACTTTCCACAAAGGATAGTTAAAACTATAGTTATCCCAGGTCTGATGCACACTGCAAAGACAGGTAGGCCTAGCGATTTGGGGGAATAGCAGAAGCGGCACTTGCACTGCAGTGACTCTGTGGTTACAGGCGGGCAAGTGCACTACTACCTGTGCCATAAAAAGCTTTGACTCTTGGCAGAGGTAGTAGTACACAGACTTTCTAAACCCAGAGGTGCAACATCGCGAGACTTCTGGGAACGCTTGCATAACAGATGAAACAGACTAAGGGCCCAGATTCACAAAACACTTCTTACACAAACACTTAAGAAGCTTCTTAAGGAAAAAAATAAGAAGTGCATAAAATAGTTCGTAAATGCAATTCCTCAACAATATCTTACAATTGGATTATTTTCTTATGAACTTCTCAAATCGCTTCTTAAAAAGTTAGTTGCTAGGCAACTGATTTAGCTAGCTATCTAGCTAGCAATGGCAATCATGTTAGCATATTTCGTACTGAGATTACTGTTCTAAAACATTTTCTTGGGATTAAAATAATCAATACTGAAACTTTCTGATGAAGTTTGTGAGTGAATTAAACATGTTCAATTGCTTTCATGAGTTTATTCTCTCACTGCCCTGAGTTTAAGACAAGGGTTTAGCTATCTTGGAATTAAGAGCATTTCCAATAAATCTATTTTAAAGAATCTAATTTCTTTTTAACTTTGTGTTTAAGGAGAAACATAAGAAATAGCGCAAGACATTTTTCAAGGACCTTTTTGAGGAATAGCAGCTTTGCTTAACTTTCTTCATAAATCTATAGTTAAGAAGAAATGTCTTCTTAAAAAGGTTTTGTAAATCTGGGCCCAGGCCCTGATTCCGTAGCCACGTTCTGGAGATTCCGTAGAAATACATCCATCATAAAATACCAGTAACTTACCAAAAAGCTGACGATAAATTAATTAATTAAGTAATCGTAAATATTACGAATGGCTACATACAAGAAACAGGTAGTTTAACCGGAAACGCTCGTTGGTTGATTCATTCAAGGTGACTCAGTCGTTCCAGTTGCATTCTCATTCCAGATTATGAAAAGATTTAGCTACTATTCTACAAGCTCCTGTTAAATTGATGTAGTGATATAAATATAATATATTATTATATAGCAACATGTTCTGTTGTTTGTCAGGAAAAAAGCAACATTCTAGCAGCTAACATTCTTAAGCGAATCCTTGTCCGTGTTGAAAGAAGAAGCACAGAGTTTCTAAACCCAGAGGCGCAACATCATGAGATTTCTGGGAACGCTTGCAAAACAGACCAAGCGGGTTTGAGAAGTGAACAATTATTCCTTAGTTGTTAATTTTCTCGAAATCTAAAGGCACAACCTAGATTCGAATCAATGTCTTAAGTAGTTAAACATGTTATTAAGCCAACCTCGTGAAAGTGACAAACTGACACGTTTTCATTTTCGTCAAAAACAACTTTATATTGAAGGAGTGCCTTTGATTTGATGGCCTGTACATGCGCAATTTGGCGCGAGACAACTGTTAGACCCGATTAAATATTTATACGCATGAGTTTAGCTAGCCAATGTCACCATGACATCGCCTGCAAGTGTGATCCATGATTTCTATCATGGGCTGGCTGACAATGTCACACAAAAAAAGATGTGTGCACTTCCATGGGGCAGAAGTCAACCTGTTGCTGTGATTCTTGATGGCCAGATTGCAAGCAATAATGACGACAAACTGCCATGTGGGGAATCGTAAGTGGCTCGTTTCCTCTTGTTATCAAATCAAATCAAATTTTAT